TTTAGTCAGACCTGGGAAGACACTGCTGCAGTAATCAGTGTTTCTCCGGATCTGGGAGATTAATGCTTTAATCCTGGAAATGTTCTTCAGGTGATAGAAGCCCAGGTTTGTAACTGTCTTTGTGTGACTCTGAAAGTTCAGGTCAGAGTTTATAAGTAACCCAGATTTCAGGCCTAATCTTCGGTTTCTAGCTGTAATAATTGAAGTTGACTCTAGATCGTTCCTCTTCAGATCCAAAGACAATAGTTGGAGTTTCTTCCACTCGGCTTGCGGTCTCCCGGTTCAGCACTTCACCTGAAACTCTCTGTTCGCTGCTGATGCTTTCCCGCCTTGGTGTCCGCAGCTTCTCTCTCTGGCTAATTCACCAGTGGTGTATCTGATGACTGCCAGGCCGAACATGTTGATAGCTTTTGTTTTCACTGTTCGGCGGTTCCTTCAGGTCCTCCCTTAGTCTTTTCAGGTACTTTGTCATGGCTCACTGTTCTGTGGCCTTTTTATGGTTTCCATCCGCCCGAGGCTTCCCAAGGTATTCATAGCTGTCGTCAACATCAGCAATCTTGCCTCATGTATAAATAGATGTAATACACACACACACACACACACACACACGTATATGTGTTGGTGGGTTTGTGTGCCAGTTCGCTGAAAAGATGCTCATGAAATCAAACCTAGAGAGAAGAAAAGGTCTCCTCTGCAGGGCCTGTTGAATAGTAATAGATGTGAGTTAACATGGCTTAGTGCTACAGTAGCTAATGTAGCATTGCCAAGGGGGACAGGGTCTCTCGCAAAACAGGGGTTGTGTTGCTTACTGCTGGTTCTAGTGTTAGTTCTGCCAAAGGGGACAAGGGCCCGGCTAAATCAACTGTAGCATAACATTAGTGCCAGTTCTTAACGGCGCCTTTAGCAGCCCAGGGGACTCGGTAGAGCAGCTGCATCAGAGCTCACCTCCAACCATCCTGCAGGGTATCAGTCCCCTGCCAGCGTGGCAGTCAGATGAAAGCGGCTCCGAGTCATTCCTGTCCCTTTCGGGGTCAGAGGGGTTCAGCTCTTCTGCTGCAGCCTTGGTCGTGTTTGAGGTTTAAACAGGAGAAGAATAAATGATGAAATTCAATAATAACAGAATACCTGGAAACCAAAGCGAGGCTGGCTGGTAATGTTTAAATGGCTCTTATGCATGAGTACAAAACAAACAGCGGAAACAAACTCTGTCCTCCTAGTGAAAAATGTCTCTTAAAAAGAGTTAAAACTGACTTTAGCTGCCACATCTGAACAATCTATCAATCAATCAGGTTTATTTGTATATCACATTTCAGCAACAAGGCAGTTCGAAGTGCTTTTCATCATAAAATTACTAAATAAAGTAACAAAAAATTTAACTACAGTAAAAAATTGTTTAAAAGTGACTGATCAAATTAATATATAAAAATTACATAATCAGATGGACTAAAATATAAAGTTAAAGTGGAAATTTGGGTATTTTAAAACCCAAAATGACAATAATTCATTTAAGTAACAAAAATGACAAAATCAAGCAAAAGAAAATGTTTTCAAATCAGTTTCTTTCAATAGGAAACTTATGAAAGTTTAGCAAAAACTACAGGCGTGTGTCTCATGAATTTTCGGTTTAAACATGTTTGTTTTTCTTTTGGTGGGTAGAAAATGCAGACATTTAACTCAAGTAAGAGTAGAAATAAATCATAATGAAAGAATACAGCGTAATAAAGATACTGAAGTAAATGTAACTAATTTCTGCCCATCTCTGCGGACAGGATCCTGTATCTGAAACAACAGCTGTAGGAGCTCATATATTAAACAAAAAGGACGTTAAAAAGACTCAAGATGACTGTAAGAAGAGTTGAATTTCTTTGATATCGTTTTTTTTGGCGTAAATTCACATGTGAAGTTTATCTAGATCATGTTTACCTGTTTGTGTTGTTTACACGTATTCCCTTGCTGGGACTTTTAATGATCCCGTCTCCCACTTTCCTGTCCCTCTGAGCCTCGTGTTGTGGCTCTGTCTCTATTTTAGTGGGTTTGTTTGCATAGTTAGTGGCTCTAAGTGCAATTAGCTGATTAGGAAACGTGTGCAGCCGACAGAGAGTGCGTCCTCCCTGGAGGACGGCAGCGAAGCGCGATGTCTCAGCAGTTACTTCGGGTGTTGACGCTCTCTGAGGAGCAGCGCCGCGTTTCCTTGTGCGAACTCCCTGCTGCACAAATGCATGCTACTTCCTGGCACAAAAGGCCTCCTGTTTCCTGATGCTGTTACTTTCAATAAAGACTGTCTGTGAGGGTCTAAACCCAGGTCTCACTCCACAGGCACATCGGAAATGAACCAAGTTTCTGATCGCTCAGCTGTACGTTGCTTTGTTCCACGAGAAGATCATGATCCATAATGATCCAGGCAAAGACATCTCAAAGGTTTTGTTACGTTTTCACTGTAGAGTAAAATTTTTACTGCTGTGGATCCAACAGAAAATACAGTTTTTTTTTTGTTGAGTCCAACAGAACTGTGTTGAATCTTATGTTTTCCAAATTTTTACCAAATATTTTTGTTCTAGTTTCTAAGTTTCTATTGCAAACATGTTGGTGCACTTGAAGTAGGACAAAACTAACTTATAAATAAACTTTCAGCAAAATATTGAGTCTATAGTTCCTTAATATTGCTGAAAAGGTGCTAGTTCCAATGGGAAAACATTTTTACGATGTTATGGAACTAAAACTTCTTCAGGAATTATTTACTTACACAAACGACCACATCAGGTTGTCTTTAAGTCAGTTTTATCTTATTTCAAGTGTATTAAGTTATTTGCACTAGAAATTTGGAGAGATTTTTGCGTTTTTTGCAGTCGCTACTGTCAAGGTTTCAGTTGAAAACGGGGCGATCGGGACTCATAAACATTTTAATGCTTTTATTCCAACCATGCAGACACACAGGACGCGTCTTCATGTTTAATTCCTCGCTTCATGCATGATTCAGAGGACATCAGTTGTCCTCCCGTCTCCCCACTATTGACACCAACCAGTGATTCACATAACAAACAATCCTCTAAGCGTTCCCAGTGTTCCCAGTCATGCCTGCAGGCGCTTCTGTTAAAGAACGATAGTCTTCCAGGGAAGACGCCCGTCCTCAGGTCCGGGAAGGAAAGCCAACAGGCTTTCTGCATGTTTCTGCAGTTAAAGGGTTGATTTTTACCTTTCGGTCCATCTGAGGGAAAGTCTCATTTTCATTTTGGGTCGTATCAAAATCATAAATGTTCCCAGAATTGTGGCAGAATTTATTAATAAAACCCGTTAACAGTTCAAATATGAATAAATAGCTGTCTGCATTTGAAAAGGACTCCTTAAATTTATTTTTTTGCAATCAGAATCAGATTTTTGTGGTGCTAATTTAGAAATATTTACACGTAATTTGGCTTTATTTGTGCTTGTGTATGACAATAAATGTGAGTTTCTGTTCCACGTGATATTGATCACAAACTGCGGCTCAACATGGTGAGGCTGACGCATCTCTGCAGTAGAAGTAAGAAATGCTGCCACCTGCAGGTTGGAGGTCACCACTTAAATCTGTTGGGTTTTTTGTTAGTGTTTTTTTGGGGGGCGATTTGTACTAATCTCACTAGTTACTATAAAATTATGTGTGGGTCTCTTGTGAATTTCCGCAAATGCAGAATTACAGAAAACTGGGGCAACTGATTGATGCGATTTTGCAGTAAGCCGATAATTTATTCAATTTGACAAAATACTATTTAAGCACACAACTGAAAGCTGCAGAAACAAAAAGTCTTACTCAGAATTTTTGGTCTAGTTTCTAGTGCAAATATCTTAGTACATTCAAATGAGACAAAATTAACTTAAACGTAACTTTTCTACCAAAATGGAAACTTGTTTTAAGTAAGTAATTCCTTATAAATAAAAAAGTTAAATAATCTCATAGTCAATCTGGTAATTCTTTTATTAATATGAAAGGGGCAGGACTGTATGTTTTCCAAGCATATGGGGCCATTTAATATAATCAAGTAAATATGTTAACTTCAATTGTTATAAAAATGTTATTTACATCAGATGTAACTTAAAATGAATTTGACTTTGTAATTTAACACCTTGGAATTAGGCCTCTGTCGCTTTAAGGAACTCCTGCTGTGTTTGAAACAACAAGCCGCCTCTACCAACTGTTAGACTGCGTTTTTACCAGCGTTGCACTGAAAAGCAGTTTTTATGATGAGCTCAGCAGACGCACGTCCACGAGGTGTTTGCTAATTGCTGCTTGCTAGTCTGAAGGAGTCGAATGGGGGAGCAACATGTGAGGCGTAACGTGTGGAAGCTGCAGCTCTGAGGAGGAGTTGCGCCTCAACGAGGTTCACCCAGGCGTTTGTTGCCACGGAGATACAGCTCAATGGTTGCCATGGAGATTAAAGGATTTCTCAAACAGAGCCCAGGTAAAACTGCAGGTACGATTTCCATGAGGGAGTAACAATACAGCAGGTTTGTAAAGCTCAAAGAACAGGTTTTCACACAATACTGCTGCTTTAAGAAATGGTTTACTTGAAACTAGCGCCTACCTCTTGCTGAAGATAATCATCTGTACGATAGATTAGGTGAGGTAATAAAAGTGTAAGATCTTTGCACTAGAAACTAGATCAAAAATACTTTTTAGGATTTTGTTTTTTGCAGTGAAGAAGCTGGATTGAGTTTGACGCATCGTCGCCTGTAGGTAGGTGTAAGCATCTGCCTCCAGGTTCCCTTCTTTCCCTCCGAGTTTTTGTGTGAAACTGGAAATGAAGGATGAATAACGACTGATTGCATGTTCAGGAACACATACTGCCATAAATCAGACACAGACGCTGTGAAAGGCTGTGAAGTCTGACACGAACTCTGGATCCATGTGGTTCCTCTGGTTCCACCAAACAGCAAACAGGACGTCTGAAAAGTTTTTTTTTTAAAGTGTTGCATTGATGTGTTTTCCTGCTTTTCCTCCTCTAACCTTTTTCTCTCCCCTGCAGATCCCCTCTGCCGGCCAGCTAATGGAGGCTGTGCGCGTGAAGATGAAGGAGAGGAAAGTGCTGACAGAAGAGCTGGCCGCGCTCGCAGCACCAGTCAGCGAAAAACCCTGACTCCCCGGGCTGAGGCCGGGAAAACTGTCATCCTCTCCTCTTTCGCCCCCTCCACCAGCCTCTTCTCCCGACTTTCCCGCCCGGTTCCTGCTCTGCGCTGGCCGGCCCGAGCCACACGGAGCCGCGGCAGCAGGACCAATATTTGTGGAAAAAAAGAAGAAGAAGGAAAGCTGTCGACTCACTCCGGGCCTCCGACTCGCACCCCGACTTTAGTAAATGAGCCTTCGACATCTGTGTTAGCGCTCAGCGCGCTCCGGCTGTCAGGCGGGGCCCCTCGGAGCCAAACTAATTTACGGTGCAGTCCTGAACTCGGAGGGGGGGACATGGCAGACGCTTACGCTGATCTTTAACTTACACCTTTATGAACCTTCTGCTTCCTTTCCCTTTATTTCATCCGACTGCTGAAGGCCTGGAGCTGCTGGAGCCAAAAGGACATTTTGAAACTCAGATCTGTTGGTAACCTTGGCAAAGTCAAGCAAAATGCCTTACACTGCAAAAACCAAATCTAACCACATATTTCAGTCTAATTCTAAGTATCTTAGTACACTTAAAATAACACCAAACTTACAAGAAAGTTTTAAGTCAATAATTACTTAATATTGATGAAAAAGTTCCATTGGGAGATAATCTGCCAGTGGAACTAATATTAAGTAATTATTGACATTAATCAGGATCCTGTATGTTATAAAAATACGCTTTGTGTTTTTGCAGTGTAAAATTAATCATTTTTGTTCCAGAGCCATTAACTCACGTTGGAAATGTCTGAATAATTCAACAAAAAAGTCTCTGGAAATGAGGTTATCATCGTAATAAAGCGGCAAGCCGTTTTCTGCTGAATTTTTATTGTTCCAATATTCAACGATGTCTTAATTGAGAAATGAGCCCACAGGATCACAGATCCTCCACCCTGCTAACAATGGATGCAAGCTGCTTTTTCATGTTTGTTTTTTGATTGTTTCACACATCAGTTACGTCTGACTGAGCATCAGGGCCATGCTGAGAAAATAAACAGTGAAATTACAAGAATAAAGATGAGTTAATGCCTTTTAGTTTCCATTTTATTGTTTCTATTTCTCATCCGGTGACCTGGAGTGCTTTGAAAGGCATTGTCAAATAAATGTATTATTATATTACAATATGAGAATAAAGTCAGTTTTATCATAACACTTATGACTTTATTCTCAAAATATTACAACTTTATTCTTGTTATGTCATCACTTTGTTTTTGTAATTTTTTCATTGTTCTGATAATTTTATCAGATTTTTAGTATGGCCCTAATTTTCAGTCATAGCTTTTAGTCTCTTCTGATCTATTTCCAACTTCAACATACTTATTTCTGTAGTTTTATTTTTGTGATGGTAGGACAGGAACGGTTTTACGTTTCCAGTTGTTTTGACCTCAAGACTCCAGTTTGTGCATCATTTGTCTTTATTATCTCATCTTCCTCACTGCCTCTGGTGGACAGGTAAATATTAATATAGATAAACATTTTATGTTTATTCCTGTAGGAAACATTTAGAATACAAACATCTTAATATGCGACTTTTTTCATTGATTCGGTTTTATTATTTCATTAAAATTAAACGGTTTTTCATGCTTTTTATGCATTTTTACCAAATGTGTAAAGTCAAATATTTCTGCATTTCTAACGTCTTAAGAAGGCGTAAATACATTTTGATGTATTTTTGAAGGATATGTTCAGATGGTTTTATTCTGAAATGATGTTTTTCTGAGCGTGTTTTGTTGTTTCCAGCCGGTTGGAGTCGCTGGTGACCCCTGGTGACCCCTGGCGCTCTGCAGGCCTCCTGACAAGCGCCCCCTGCTGGTGACGTCATTCACACATACAGAGCAGGGCTTTGTTAAAGGGAGCCGCTTCAAATCTCTTTTATCTGCTCCTGTTTCCCTACCTTATTATTATTCCTTTTGAATATTAAATCCCGACACCGCTCTCCTCTGTCCTTGAGTTGCTTTCCTCCTTTTCCTTTCTTCCACTTTCTCACCGTCTTTTTTTTTTATTTGTTTAAAATCCTGTGTTCAGGAATTAAAAAGAAATAATTCCACTTTTTAATCCCACCCCCACTTCTCTTCCCAAATATATGCTAATGATGTCGTTTTCCTTTATCTTTTTATAATAAAGGATTAGGCCAGGACTGTCTTCAGCTGCAACTCGGGGACCAATTTAGCCGGGATACAGAAGACACGAACCCCGGCGGTTAATTACCATTCATTAACATAGTTTGCATCTTTCCTCCAATACCCAGGAGCCGACTATTGTCAATATTTGTCCCATGAAAGAAACTCTTCAGCCTGTTTTCCAGTCCTGTCCTCCAGCGTATCGCGCTCTGATGACAAACATTAATAAGTTGGAGCGATCCGATCTCCGTCTGCGCCGCCGCTCGCTTCCTTTCGGTGTAAAATGCGACGTCGACACATTTCGCCATCCGGCCTTGGCTGTTACGCTCCTGCTTTTCTGTGACACATTCAAACGCGCCCCCTCGGCTGATGCTCCCCTGGGTTTAATTAACCTGGCCTCGCCTCCGACGCTCCCACAGTGAAGACGTTAAAACGCCCTTCGACCCGCCCACAACACACACGCACGCACACGCACGCACGCACACACACATGCAGCAGGCGACATACAGGATTCATCTCTTTTTCTGCGTAAGAGTGGGATGTCATCTTCTTCTTTCCTTCTCCTCGTCTTCCTCCTTTCTTTCCTTGCATCGCTCTCGTTAAGGCAGATTTTCTGTGGGAACCACTTTGATCAGCAGCTCCAGATGCAAAGTTTCCCCTTTAATTCATTCCAACACAATCAGTCATTTCATCCCCCTCCGTTTTGTCAGGTTTGTGGTCAGGTTTTTATCATGGTGTTGTTTTTTTCTTTTTTCTGGATGACGACAGTCTTCAGTTTGGTGCTTTAGTCTCAGTTTTTTTTTTTTCATTTGTTATTTTATTTATTTTGAATATTTAAAATGTCTTCCTGTTTCAGTGTTAAATGTTCATTGGAACTTATCTTTCAGAATGTGTTCCTGAATTACATTAGTTGAAAACAATATTATCGTTTATTGTATTAATGTCTGAGAGAATTTATCAGCAGTTTGTTTTGACAGACCCACCAATGCGCTGCTTGCTTTGTTTTACAGGGGCAGTATAAAGTCAAATCAACTTCTTTTTTAACTTTATGTTATAATGTTATTCCCTCATCAGAAACAAACCTGGAGTCTCGTTTGGATTATTTTACACGTGTTTGAGGAATCCTTAAATCTCCATGGCATCAGCTAAACAAAACGCCTGGTTGGTTCTAGCTCCGCCTCCTGTGTGCAACTCCTCCCATAAGATGCAGGTTCCAAGCAAACGAGCTTCTACCTCACAGAACAGTCCTCCCACTCAGCTCCTTCAAACTAGCCGGCAACTATTAGCAAACACCTGCTGAAACTGCTGAGCTACGTCTCAGAGCAACGCTGATAAAATCATGTTAAAGGGTTGATAGCGGAGCCATGTTGAGATGACTTCCTGAAGGTGGAGTTTTAGAAAGAGCGGGAGCTTTTAAAGAGACAGAGGCCCAATTTCAAGATGTTTTTGAAAATATACAGCATTTTTACAACAACTGTAATTGACATTGTTAATTGTGACACGATGTGCCTGGAAAATACAAAATGCTGCCCCTAAAAACTACAGGCAGTTTTTTGGCCCTAAAAAGTCGCATCAACTTTCAGGAAAAAAAAATACAACAGTGGCAGAAATGTCTGTCTTTCCTGATGAACTTTATGCTCACAAACAACAACAATTGTTTAATAATTCTGTAAAAAGTTTGTTCCCGACAGTTTTTGTGTGTGTGAGGAGGAATCGGTGCTCATGTTTACGTCCATGATCAAAAGAAAACTGAGGCCACACCACCTTTAGACATTTCTCCATTAACATGAAGGATTTCTAAACAATCTGTCAGCCATGCAATCCCCTCCTGCTTCAGAGTTTGTGACTCAGAGAAGTCTGTTTTAACAACACTGGAACTGCAGCCTGGGATTGATTTATTTGTGTTTCTCTGGCTCTAAAATCTGACTGTGATCCATCGTTTTCACGGGGATTCCTGCAGGGGAATGTTCCAGATGCGATCCCTTTGTCTGGTTGGAGTGCGTGCCACTTGGGTGGGACGCAAAGAGAACAACCTAAGATTTGTTTTTCTGCTCCTTGAGAGCAGAGAGTCGCTGCAGGTTTCAGCAGCCAGATGTGGAGCGGATGGAAGCAGCCGCTGGGGGGATTCCCCTCTCTTCCCTGACACAGTTTCACTCTCCAGCTTCTGCTGCCAATACATCGGTGGGCTTTGATTTTTCCAGGCACAGACACTTGGCACTGCCTTAAACAACAAGGTGCTTGTGACAAACAGCCAAATGTGTTTTTGACGAATCTATAATGCAGGATGTTTACTGTTTTCATTGCCTGTCCTCTGAGAGGCGGCTCAGTAACAAAAGACAGAAGCTGTTTCTCTGCGGATGACGGAAATCTCTCTGTTTTCCATCCTAGCAATATTTATTACCTGACCGGTGGATGCATCTATTTATTATGTTCTTTAATATTAGATCAGATGGCACCTCAGAAAGAAAAAAAGGAATTTGACTCTTCAGATGCGCATATGCTGTGTACACAACCTCATTGATCTTCACTTGAACACGTCCCTCATCCTCTCTGCGCTGCTCCAGACATGAAACGGCAGTAGATTATAGGTGGATGCGGCCCGCCGTGGGAAGCTGGGGAGCAGATAAAAAGGCCGGCCTCTCCTGGGAACCCAGCGCTGTTTTGATGTTGTGTGATAAAGTAGAGGCACAGAGCAAAGAACAGGGGAATCTAACAGTATCGCTATACGTCAGGTTTTTCTGCTCATGAAGTGTCCAAAGTTTGTCCAAAGCCACACTGGGAGGAAAAAGGGATAAAATGAGAATTACAGGATTTCTAAAGCATCTTTCAGTGCGACTTCCTCTGTCGTCGCATAGATTATCTCCGATGTTTGTTCACAAAAATTATGTGCAGTAATTAGTTACATTTACTAGAGACATTTTTTCTTGAAACTACTTTTAGGAATATTTTTACTGTGCTGCACGTTTTACTTTTACTTCAGCAATTTTCCTATGAAGTATTTCTACTCTGGAGTGAAATTTCTGTATTCTCTACCTACTGAATAAAAAACCTGTTTTGTTAAAGTTTTTAACAAAACCGGTCCAAAGCCGGGTCCAAAACCGGGTCCAAAACTGGGTCCAAAACCGGGTCCAAAACCGGGTCTAAAGCCGGGTCCAAAGCCGGGTCCACTGCTGCTAGTCGGTTAGATTTTGGAGAAATAGTTGACTAGCCTCCATGAACACTAGAAAAATAGTAATGTGATAAAATTTAAAGCAACCACAACAAATGGCATGAGAGGCTCCAGACACTGTTGGGCAGAACAAACCGATACTAATGGACCTGCTCTTCCATTCTTAAAGTCCGATCGGCTGCAGGTACAGAAGCTGCTGCGCCTTGAGGAGAAGCAGCTCGTCTGACACCTGTGGTTTAGGAGACTGCTGCATGTTTCTTCTGCACGGCCCATCAAATCAAGAGTTACTGAACATTTACAACAATATTATTGACAAAAGACAAGCTCCTATCGTTCTGAAAAGTTACTTCTGATTAACAAAACTGAGTTGGTTTTGTCTTGTTTCAGGTGTATTGAAGGTATTTGCAGTAGAAACCAGACCAAATTCTTTTTCAGTGTGTAATTTGTCTAAGCATTCAGATCGAACCTGCTGGGTTTTCTGTTGTACCGTTTAACAAATAAAGCGTTTAAGCCGTATCAGTCTTCATTTGTCCTGTCTGCTCCATCGCAGGCAGCCATCCATTGTTTTCTGCTTCACTCCGTATAATTCCTCCTCAGTCTGGGGGCCGAGGCCCTCAAAGCACCTCTCCACCTTGACTAACTTTTCCAAGCGCTCATTAGCAGACTGGCTGAAGTTTGCAGGCTATGAAGCGGGCTGGCAGATTACCCCCCATACAGTAGCACACCTCAGGTAATCACGCTAATGAATTCAAGATTCCTTCCTCCATTTCCCCCACTTACCTTCTCCCTTTCTTCCAGCGTGGCAGGGCGAGGAGCTCCAAGTGCCAAACAACCGGAGTGTTTGTTTGCATAACATTAGAGCTGCATGCTCGCACACTCTGGCAGGGGCCCCGGCTGCAGAACCGACTGGAGGCTTCAGCGAACGCAGGTGGAGCAGGCCGGGCATCACTGGGACCAATTAGAGCAGAGCACAGGTATATTAGCATGTTTGAGTGGAGTGGGGATCCACGGACCTTACCAAACACACAGACACGTTATCACAGCCGGGTGTGTGCTGGCCAGGCGTCTCTGGTGCCACAGCAAGCCGATGACAAATGACCCCGTTTCCTGCCGGGTCAGGACTTTTTTTTTCCTATCAGATTCTGCAAATATTACAGAAACATATAAACACTCAGAAATGAATGGAAATAAGAGAATAGTTGTGTTGCTAGGTAATCTTCCTAGAAAACATTAAAACTTCACAATCTTCAAGCAAATGGTTCAGAATGTAATTACTGACATTCAGGTCAGAAATACTTTATTGATCCCAAAGATTAAAGACGAGCTTTGAAAAAACACAAACCAAGTAAATTTGGTCGAGTTTCTACAGAAACTAACTTTAAGTGACTTTTCAGCAAGATGTGGGATCTTGTTTTAAGTCAATAATACCTTAATATTGATGAAAAAGTATTTGTTCCACTGGCAGATAATTTCATAACAAGACATTTTTCCCATGTTGCAATTGAAACAGTCTGCCGGGTGAAGCTAGCACTTTTAAAAATCAATATTAAGGAATTATTGACTTGAACAGGCTCATATTTCTTGCTGAAAAGTCACCAGGCAAGATTTTGTGTTTTTACTGTTTATGCATAATCGAACAGAAGCTGCGGTCAAATAATCGCTCATTCATTTGGCTCAGACACGAAGAGGAAAAATGACCCCAGCAGCGAATAATCTTGGGCAAAACCTGCAGGATTAACCCTTTATGAGCTGGTATAGATTTACTGGAGCAGGTAAAAACCTTATTAAAACTTTATTAAACTTTATTTTATTTAGAAAACAAGACAAATAACTTTTTGTTGTTCTATGTTTTCATCCTGCAAATATGTTTTTAAAGTTTATCTAAATTCTGTCCCAGATTTTATTAAAATAATTGAAAAGAAAAACCACAAATGTGCCTAAAGGTCAGAAGTTTGATTATGTACTAAATATCAAATGTAAAATTCATTTATTGTTCGGTTTTCTGCAGAAGAAGAAAACATCGGTTTGAGTTTCGAATCCTTTCGATAATTATTCCTCTGAAATGGTCAAATAAACGGCTGGAAATGAATCCAGAGTTGGCAGAAAAACATTTGAGGAACTTTTGATAAAACAAACTTTTAGAAAGTCAGGAAGGAAAGTTCATTTCAGAAAACTAACTCTGGCTTTCAGCGCAGAGCTGCTTTAGTTTGAATTGATCAAAAACGCTCGTCTGTCAGATGTCTGAAACAGGAAATGTGGGGAATAAAAGGCAGACCTCCCAATCACCACTTCATCTGTCAAACATGAGCTCAGCGTTTCCACTGGAGGAACCGGCACAAAGTCATCTATTGATTATTTTATCGCCGACAGAAGAGATGTGCAGAAACATTCTGTCTGTTCTGAATCCTCCAAATTTATCAAAACTCCATGGATGACAGCTTTTGTTCAGCTGGAAGAGCGATCCTCCAGCGACTCCGTCAGGCATCAGCGCACTGCAACCCAAAAGGTCACGGCTGGAGTGGCAGCAGGACGGGCCCGGACCGGCGCCGCCGGCCGTGTTGAAAGGCTTCAGAACCGCCTGAAGGTGCTGCTTCGGCTCTGAGTTATGAGGCAACGTCACGATTTGTTGCTGGGAAGCCCAGAAGGTTGTCGGGCTCAATGTTTAACACGGCGTTGTGCAACAGAACCCGATCAGAACCGACCTTCAAATCAGACAAAAATGGTGTCAAATGTTTGTACAGCTATGATGTTAAAGAGGGAGGATTATGTAAACTTAACTTTTTTGAGCTTTAAATCATGTTTTAATGTTATTTCCTCATCAGTGCTGCTTTGATTATTTCATGCATGTTTGAGAAATCCTTTAACCTCCATTCAGCTGAGCAAAACACCTGGTGGATTTAGATATCGATGACGTCATGAAGGTGGAGCTTCAGAAGGAGCAGGAGCTTCTTAAAGACACGGTGGCCCAATTCCAAGTCAAATTTCTTTTAACTCATATTTTTTATATGAGGCATTTTGTACCTGGAAAACACATCATGCTGCCCTTTAAAGGTATAAATAAATGTCCCAGAGATCTTTAAAGATCAACCTGCCCCAGTGTATTTACAAACTCAAACAAACTTACTGTCCATCAACTGTGCAACAAAAAATTACCAATATAATCACAGCATAATTAATTTATATCAGTTTTGCTGAAATTTATATAAAAACTGTTTCCAAGCAGACTTCAGTGTGAAGCTTACTGAAATAATTTAATAGATGAAACATTTTGTTCATCCAGTTCAAACAAAAGAAATTAATTCTTCAAACTAAAAATAAGTGCAATTATTTGGTTTGAATTACAATATTAAGTTATTCACGATTGAATTGGAATTCAGGAAAAAAAAGTTTAGAAAATTTGTTTAATCAACTTTATAAACTTTAATTTCTGAGTTAAAACCAAAACTATTTTAGTTTTTACTTGCATTTTCAAAGTTTAATCATCTTCAGATGTTTTGCAGTGCAGCAACAGGAAGCTCCAGTTTTATGCTGTTTTTACCTGACCAGGTAAAATTGACTCAACAGATTGGAAACACTTTTATTTGCACATTAAAGTTTAAGATCCGTTTGTCTGATTTCTCCTGAAATAAACTGGCCCAACTAAACTTTCACTTGAATTTTAATTTTTATTGTTTCTGGAGGTTTGGTTTCCAGTTTGTACTGACCGGTTTTTGTGTGCAACATCGTATTTCACCACTAGATGGAGCCAAAGCATCAGAAGTCGCTGCTCAGACTGGACCGACAGGAGACGACGGAAACCAGACCTTCAAAATAAAACCAATCATTTTGAAGCTTTTAAAACAAACTTTTTTCTTTTCTGTTCCTGTCTAGACAAGCTCCACAATTCCTTCAGACACTAAAATTTATGTTAATAAAACGTAATAATTTGATCATCATTTTTAATTTTGTGAAGCAAAATTTTTAAATATTTTTTTGCATTTAGTTTGTTTCTTCTCAACTTAATTTAAACAGAAATTAGTCTAATTATTAACATTTATTTGTTGTAAATTGTATTTTGATAAAACTAGATTTCTATATAAGATTCAAATTGTAAACTGAAAAATGTTATGTTAAAAAATATAATGAAAATATTGTTTAAATAAACATCTTTTATATTTCTAAATAAACTTAAGAATTTTCAAAATTGCATTGAGGTGGTTTTGTGTCTCATTGTATGTTTTACACTGAGGTAATAATACAACCCCATTTACTGTGCTTTCTTTAATTTTTTATTTATTTATTTTTTTCTGTTTTTCTAGAAAACATTTTCCCTGATGGAGAAACTAAAGAGGCAGTATCTTACCAAATGACTACTTAACATTTCTGTAAACACAATTTCCTCCAAATCATCTTTTCTATAACCTCCATATTGTTTCTTTTTTCATACTAAATGTTTTGAACTTTTTGTTATAGAGCTGCATATGGAAGGTCTCCACTAGATGGCGCCACCGTCATCTGGTGGAACCTTCTGAGAAAAGCAGTTGCAGAAAAAAACATTTGACTTTTTTCTTTTTATTTGTAAAACACCTTTTTAAATAAAACAGGTAAAATGCAGCTCGGGCTTTTATTTTGTAATGAATCTTCCTGTCTTTTGAGTTAAATGTGACTTTTTTTCTGTTGATATAATAATTACTCATTTACGTGTCAAACTGAAGGCCTGTGGGCCAAATCCAGGCCGCCAGATGTTTATATGCGGCCATCTAGACTCTAAAACCTTCAAGATTACAGTTGTGTTTTAAAGACTTTATCATTCAAATCATCAGTTTAGTCTGTAAGATACCAGATTACATGAAGTCAAAATAAAAATATTTATTTAAAACATGTGAAATGTCAGAAAAATGTTAATAATTATTTACATATATTTAGTATATTTAGTACACATATATCATAAAAGCCAAAACCTCTACATCCACGTTGAAATGGAATAGGAAGAAGATGAAACTTGTTTAATCCAAATATACATTACACGTATTTTCACTTCTAATTTTTACTCGTCATTTTCTATACCAACCAGTTTCTATACCAACCAGCTGTATGACAGTAAGATAGTCAGACAGGGTGAAAATATATATTTAATATTTCATTTCAAGAGAATAGAGAGAATACAGAAAACATTTTATTGTGACCGTATGAGACAGACTGTGAAAAATATTGTTTTCTTCAAGCGCAAACTAAAAACAACCAATCAGAACCAGGAGGTGGATCTTAATGCTGTCAATCAATCATGTGTGGTGCTGCTCATCCCCAGCTCTCTGCTACGCTGCAGCTAGCGTAGCCTGTTGTGAAAGCTCAGGCTAGGAGGTGGCTTTGTTCTCCTCCATTAGCAAATTGAGGAGTGAATACATGAGAATGATTGACAGCACTAAGACCCTCCTCCTGGTTGTTTTTGCATTTCTTCAGACACAATAGCGGCTCATGGAGAAGATTGATGTTTTTACAGATTATCTGTCTCATTGTCACAACATAGAGACAGTTTTAATAAATATGTAAAGGTTTATAAAAGTTAAATACTGCAGCTTTAATATATTTCCATGCAGCTTCTTTGGCTTTTCTGTCAGTGGTTTTCTGATGAACAGAATAAATTTAAATATCTTTTGCACGAAGCTGCAGCAAAGTTTTCTGTTTCCTCCTGCAGCGGACTGTCGCTGTCCAAGGTGCTGCAGCTGAGGCTTCACCAGTCGTCATCATCTGGAGGCTCCCAGCGGCCTCCCAGTACAACCAGCTGGTGTTTCCCTGCCTCATGCTGGTCATTACAGTCCTCACTCCCAGTCAGGAGTTCTGGTGCCGCTCGGTTCCGACCCTGCTGCCGCTTTAAAGCGAGCATGCTCCGACGTCAGCTCCGTCTCCAGACATGTGGCTTCAGCGTCCAATGGGCTGATCGGGGCTTTACTCAGCCTCTCCCACACAGGAGATCCCTGAGGAGAAGACCAGCGTAGACCGGGGTTCGCCACGACTCACGCAGCCCTCACGCAACCCGCCAGATCCGGTTCGGAGCCAGCAGATTCCCGTCCTCAGAGCCGATTCCCGACCAGAACCACCGCGTTGCAGTCATGTCTGTGGCGGGACTGAAGAAGCAATTCCACAAAGCCACTCAGGTAAGAGGACAAGACGTCCTGTGCTGCGCCGCGGGGCCATCAGTGCGGTGCGGGATATGCGGGATCAATCCGCTGCAGCATTGCGCCAAAAACAGTCATTCATTCGCTGATTCCGCTGCTGGTTCGAGGACATTCCGCTGGTCGTGATCCCGGTTCGGTGCGTCAGGCGGTGCTTTCAGGGACGTCGGTTCCTCCCGGTACCCTTCAGATGACATTCCGCCCAGAAGAACCTCCGGAGCTGCGGCTCCTGGCAGCGGCGGGAAGATGTTCCCTGCGGCCAACCACAGCGGGAACTCCCGGAATGTTACGCAATCAAAAAGTGCGGAAATCCGCTGCTGCGCCCCTGCAGATGCGCGACGTGACCTCTGCGCCCTCTAAACGCGCAGCATCCTCATGATTCCGCTGTTATCAGATGAAGAGGAGGATTCCTCCAGCTGCACTGCTCACAACCATCTCTAGCTGCCATAGATCTACACTATCTGCAGTCTTTTTTTTTTTTTTTTTTGGATGATTTTTTTTTACTCAGATTAAGATGTCAAATCAAAAAATAAAAACCATAATTTGGTAGTAATTTGTTAGCCTGGCCGCTGCTTTCTTATGCAATTCTGCTCCATTCTAATCTCCTTTCTCTGCTCCATCTGGGATTTCTCCCTTTCACTTGGATTATAGCCAGAAGAATCTTAACTGGACCAATCAGCAAGCAGAAGATGTTGTGAAAGATGCTGCTGGTTTTTGTAGGCTGCCTGCAGCTTTAGCATTGGCAGTGAAGGAAGTGAAAAAAGCCATTCAGTCTGTGTTGGTTAGCATTAGCATTAGCATCTTGGTTGTCTAGGCTCTTCTCTCTATGCAGTGAAGGATTGTTGTTAGCAGTGCAGGAGATTTCTGGTAAGCTTCATACGGCTAAACATTAGCAATTGGCAAACAGCTGAAAATACGAAGCAACAGAGCTGATTTGATTTTATGCAACATTGTTTTACGTCTTGACTGTTATTCTTTGTCTTGTTTTTATTCAGCACTTTGGGCAGAAAGATGTGAAGTTCTACAAAAATTTGCTCCAAAGCTTCTCACATTGATTTTCCTTTAAAGTTTAGACTATAACGTTGAAGTGGAGCTGGACGCGATGGTGGCCTGCATGTTTTATACGTTTCCCACGTCCAACCGGTCTGAATCAAATGAATTGTTCATTAGCAGAACCTGAGCTGGGAAAGTAATTCAGCTGCTGGATTCAGCTCAGGTGGAAACAACTCACTGAAGTAAATCAGGCCAAACTTTTCAGTTAGAATCACCAAAATTATTTCTAAATGTCTGACAGTTAGCAGGAACATTTTTTAGAGATTTTATTCCTTTCATATTCAGAAGTTTGCACACATTTGTTCAGTATTAGAGATAATTGTGTTTAAACTTTTTGCTCTTGCTAAGTTTTCTAGGATTTAGAAAAAAGCAACTTCCTGCTTCACAAAGCTGAATGAAAATGGAGCAGTGTTAGATTTTAGCGGTTGTCGGTTTTTCTTTTGTCTCCGGAAAAAGACTACAGACTCACATGTTTATGTTTAGGTTGCATTTACCCAGAATTCCTTGCACTTTCAGCTGTTTCCTGCATTTGGAAAAGTCGCTTCAAACCTGGACTGATTGTGCTGCACTGACTGCAGAATATTTAAAAACGGTTTTTGATTTGTGAAGCTCCTATTTGCATTATTTGTTGTTATATACTTTTTTAGTTTTCTGTTTTCACTTATTTTTAACATCTTCACTGTGATCTGGTTCACATTTTTTTAAAGTGCTAATATGGCCCTTAATTTAAGTTTCACAAATCAAAGGGTTGGTTTGCAGCTGGAGAGGTTGCAATGTTATGTACATGGAAAAAAAAGCCCTACTGAAGTTTCACAAATCAAATAAAGTTTTTGCGAGTCACACATTTGGTTTTAAATATTCTGCAACCTGTGCAGAATAATCTAGTCCAGATTAGATGCGTAATCATAGCAAAAAATGACCGGCGTTGCACTTTAGTCATTTCCTGGTTGGAGTGAACCCTGATGTGGTTCGATGTCAAAACAGGAAGTGGACTACAGCAAAGGGAATTCTGGGTAAATGCAACCAAAACAAACGCGTTTGTGTGAGAAATGGCTCTTCAATCTTTTACCAAAGACGGAACAGAAAAATCCTCCAGCCACTAAAATTCAGCATTGCTCCATTTTCCATTTTGTAAAGCAGGAAGTTGTGCTCAGTGTCTTCTTCAGAGGTTTTCATGTCATTTCCTTCAGTGGTTTGTGGTGCAGCGCCCCCACAGGTGAGGAGGGGAACAGGTTTTTCAAAGCGTTTGGTTGGTTCAACTGAGTGCAGTGAAAAAACAAACCGCAATAGCTGGAAATGTAACAAATATGGCAACTTGGTCCAAAATCAAATAGAGTTTATCGAATGTAAAAACACACCAAGATTTTTAGGCGGACCAGACATCACAACCCATTAGAGAGTAACTTTTACAGTTGTTTTGGCTGCATTTACCCAGAATGCCCTGCACTGTGGTCCACTTCCTGCTTTTAGATCAGTCTCCAGACCACTTGGCGTTCAGATGAGCATTGGAACTGCTCCAGAGTTCACTTCAATAAAACCGACCCAGGTTTGTCGGCAGAGCAGATTCATTGTTTTGGTCTGCATCAGAGTTTGATGGTCCAAAACGTCCCCAAACGAACCGGACGTTTTAGACAAACGGACTGGACTTCAATTAAAGCGGACTAAACTGGGCCCGTGTGAATTCAGCATAAATTAAGGCAGTTTGACGTCTTGGAAGGAAAATGGAGCAAAACTAAAGCGATTTAAGACTTTTGCACAGCTGACCAGCATCTCTGCCCTCCTATAGCAGATCTTAGTGACAGTGGCAGATCTCTGCTTGCGGCTGTGATCCGTTTCTGGGGCTGCTGATTCTCTGCGGGGCGGTTCTGATTCGGTCCTGGTGAGTCAGAGCGGCGCTGACGGTCGGCTTCGGGCCGACACGAGCCAAACGCCTCCCGGTTGAGTCACACACACTCCTCCGCTTCAGCACGTTTACAAATGGCCGTCTGCTCCATCCCGGCTGAGCGGCTCAACCTGAACCTGGAGATCTCGCCACTGATCAACGCGTCTGCAGGTCTTTCTCTCCTGAGGCTTCAGGAAGAAAACGGCTCCAGACTGAAGCTGTGAAACATTTCTCAGAAGGTTTTGTTGTGCTGAAGCCTGAAATAAGGAGCAGAAATAAATCCAAACATTTGCAAGTAATTTCTCACTTTGAACAAAGAGCTGGTTGTGGAAACCGGAGGAGGCGTCGGATAGCAGCACAGATTGTGTTAATGGTCGCCTGTCGGCCCTGCAGATGTTTCTCTGCAGCTTCATGTCTGCTTCTGTCTGGGAGATTTAGTGCATTCAGAGAGCAGCGATGTGCGTTTTCTTTTTGGTTTCTCCTGCAATCTGCTCCTCAAACGTTACCAACCCCCATTCATTACACACACACACACACACACACACACACACACACACACACACACACACACACACACGACAGAATGCTCTCCTCAGGCTGCCAATCCAAGGACACATTCAGCTGCAGCTTCTTCTTCTTGAAAATATTTTCCAGGAAACAGAATCCAACATGGCGGAATCAGGATTCTGATCCTCCAAATGGATTTCTGCTGGAAACTTTACTGAGCAGCACAAACATGCAGGAGAAATAAGGTTTTAGACGCTTTAGTCATTTTCTCATCATAAGAAGATGATGAGAAAATTAAAAGATAAAAAAATTACAACTTTATTTCGAGAATAGAGTTGTAGTTTTGCGATACGAAAACATGTTAAGGCCAAAGGAAAACCTGGAGTAAATTTCTGCCAAATGACTCAAATTTTGAGTTTCAATAGTGAAACATTTTCAACTTTTCAAACTCATAAATTTCACATTCTTCAACCATCATAAAGCTTTATTCACCTTTCCAGTGTGGATTGTAGACGCTCACGTTAGCATTAGCATCTGTGCTGCTGCTACTTGTTTAGCATTCAGATGCTATTTTATTAAAAATGAAATAAAATTACAATAGAATTTTTAGAGTTGATGAAATTGATCAATCATGCTTAGCTAATTAAATTCCCGGTTCTGTTTAAATCCTCCTCCCAGTCTTGTGTGATTCTGTTTTGAGCATCATTCTTGGCAGCAAGTGGACTCCATATGGCCGCATGTTTTCCTCTTCATTACCGACCGTTGTCTTTCAGAGATTAAATGATTGCGCCAGACTCATTGATTTGGTGATTTACTGCTAATTCAAAACAAATCTCTCCTCATTTTCTCAATCTTGTGATCTGGTTTCACCGCAGAAACACAAAACCTTAGTCTAGCTTATGGTGCAAATATCTTTGTTCAGCAGAAATAAGAAATGTAAACTTACAAGTAACTAAGCAAGATGTAAGATCCTGTTTTAAGTAATTCATTCCTTAATATTGATGAAAAAGTTCTAGTTCCATTGACAGATAAATTCACATTAAACAGGACATGTTTCTCATGTCAAAGTGAAATAATCTGCCAGAGGAGCTAGCAGATTATTAATTAATTGATTATTAGCTAATATATCTTGCTAGAAGGTTATCTATAAGTTATTTTCGTCTTATTCAGCTGTATTATTTTTACTAGAGCAGAAGTATTTGGTGAGATTTGGAGTTTTTGCAGAGAATAGAGTGTTTTTGTAGCCGTTTCTTTATGTGACCCGCGGAACCAAACGAGCCGTCTGGACCCGGCTGCTACCTGTAGGAGTGTGATTGGCTGCTGGGACACACACCTGTCTGCAGACATGAGGCACATCTTTATTTCTGTGAAGAGCTCCTGCTGCAGTGATCTTATGTTTTCCACTGAGCCGAGGTTTGACACAAGCTTTCCCACGATGTGCACTGAATACTAACATCAGCAGCTTTTTAATTCCTTCAGAAGCTCCTTTAAAAGCAAATCAGCTAAAGTCTCCTTAAATATTTAAATCTTGATTTATTGG